ATAGGTTTTTGGTGTCATTTTAATTCTAACAATCGCAGCCATGCCTAGATGTAAAGGTGAAGGAATATCAACTTCATGCTATAATTAATTAATATATATTCACTTAATTAGTAAATAAAATTTTATTAACATAAAAATAAAGGCATGATTTTTATAAATTACCTACCATGCACATATATCCTCGATCATTTCTCATAACACGGTAATCTTTTTGCAAATGAGGGAAAACGGAGAAAAAAGTGAGTATAATATTAAGAAAAAAACCAAAATATTAATATAAATAAGTAACTTACCATGTGCTAAAGCTAACATACAACCACCAGCAAAAGCATGGCCATTAATCGCCGCAACCGTAGGTATAGTAAAAGTCAACATTCTAGTCAACAACTTCAAATAATAATTGTCAAAAAAACCAGGAGTACTTAACGCATGCTCTAAATCCAATCCATTACTATAAAATTTTTCCTCGCCAGTGGTGATAAGTGCAGCTGGCTGTTCATCTTCCTGCTCACGAATTCTTTCAATATCATCCAATGCAGAAAAAAAAGCTTGGACAAAAGTGGTGGTGATTCGATTTTCACCATTTTTCATTGTTAAAATGAACAAAGGACCTTCCCTGTCTAAGGTCATAAGTGGTTTGCCAGATGATGATTCAGGATAAGATTTTGGAAACATATTTATATCTGTATGATATTTTAAAAAAAATTTGGAAAATTTAAATTGATCGATAATAAATGGAAAGTCTGATATCAATTCCAAATTTGCATTATGTAACACAATCCTTACACGAATTATTCAAATCCTTCCTTAAATAAAATGATCGGCAAAGAAAATTCCAAGGGAACTTTTATGTTTATCTTTTTATTTGGGATGATAAACTTTTTAAAACAAAGCAGGATGTATTGAATATCATATTCTAAATAAGAAAGGTTGTGGTGGTACCCAGGAAAATGTCTATTTGTAATTTATGATCGCAATTCCAAATTCCGTGTTGGTTCATTTTTCAATGATTTAATTATAACACCTAATTGAAAACAAAGAGGCAAATTAGTCCAAATAATGCAAATACAAGCATACGTAAATATTCCTAATACTTCTTTCTGCTAATGTTCCTACCTCTATGCATACAATGTTGACGATCCAAAACTTTTTTTTTTTTGGCGGAAAGGAAAAAATATTAACGCAAAGATTACAAAGATATTTTTTTGAATTAATCGAAAAATTAAATAATATTGATTTAATTGACAACAAAAAAAAAGATACATTGCAGTTTTAATGTTTTTTTTTGACGCAGGCATTAATCTATTCTATTTTTTTAAAATAAATAATTATTATTACACCTTTATACTTTTATTCGTTCATTGACCAAAAAAACAATTATGTATAGATTATTGATGCTGCTATTTTTTTTTGTTTTTTTTTATTTAAAAATTCCTCGTTTTCCTTTTTCCCAATTATTATTAAAATTTTTTTTATGAAGCTATCCAGTTAAAGATTGAGTTGTTTGAAGTTAAAAAATCGGATT